GCATTGTGTATTTGTCTAATGTCTGGGGAAGAAAGAATAAGACCTTCGAATCCAGTCACACATTAACAGAACTGCTTTTCAGACACTTTAAATAATAACTCTATCAACATCCCAATCAGTAACTGGCTTATTTTAAAGTAACTTGAAAGGATTCTGGTTAACAATCTTATAATCCAACAGCTGCCCGTCTTTGGGATACAAAAAGAATTTAAAAAAAAACAAACAAACCCCCAAACCTAACAACAACAAACAAAAACTTTAGAAAATATTTTTTAGAAATATATTCTTCAAATAAAAACAGGTTCACACATATTTCTATGATCTGACCAGTTTGAAGCCCTGCCCCGTGTCCAGTATTGCTGGTGGAAACCAGTTGAGCTTGAGTCTCTTGAGACATCGCAGGCAGGCGCTGCAGGTCCACAGCAGGTTCAGGCTGCCGCACCACAGCGCCAGCTGGACCACGGGATAGGTAACCCGGGGGAAGTACATGCTCCAGTGATTGGTGACGTCGCTTCCTGTTGGTAGGTGCAGCGTGTAGTCGCCCCAGTGTTTGGAGATGCCGTAAGCAGCAGAAACCGCCCTGCCCCTCTCTGACCACTGGATGTTGCTGTTTGAGTTGCAGTTGTACTCCACCCACTCGGAGGTGAAGTCTCCGAGCTGCGGCAGGTCATGCAGCTCGACGTCCGCCGCTCTGGAGAGCGTCGCTCCCTGGATGGCAACATACAGATTTTCCACCTTCGTAACCGCCTTCACCCATGGCAGAGAGTTGTCACAGTCGAGCACCACAACAAGGCGGGAACAGAAGTTGGTGTTCTTTTCCCTCCACCACTCCAAGATGTGATCCAGATGTAGAGTGTCTCCACCTAAAGATGTGCGCATGAAACAGCTGATTTTATATATATATATATATATATATATATATATATATATATATATATATATAAAAAATAAAAAATGGGGTGGTTAATCCTTCAAGCTCAGGTCCTCTGCCAGAGGCCTGGGAGAGGTCTCTATTTCTTTTCTTTCTTTTTTTGCATTATCCTACTGCCAGGGTTTTTGCTAGTTAAAAATTGGCCTCTGGGTGGAGTACCTACAGACATATGCATGACTGATTGTACATTTAGGATGTAGTATGCATTAATATCCATTTTCCTAATATTTCTGGCTATTTAATAAACAAAACAGCATTTTATACTCAAATAAATTCAACTTCAATTCAATACTTGGTTAAAAATATATGTTTTTACAACAACCCAGGTTTCCTTTTTGGAAAGTGCCAAACTTTTTTTCCCTTCAAATACATACGCAGGTTTAGAAAAAAGCGAGTCCCAATCATGACTGCTTCAACTTAAAGCCTCTCTCACCTGCCAGCGCCCACTCGCCAGTGCGATGCGTATGGCCACTGTAGAAGATTACGTAGGTGTCGTGGCGTGGGCCGTCTGGGGTACGGAGGTCCAGAAAGGATTTCATCTTGGACTGCAGAGCCTCCAGGGTTACCCCGCTGGTGGAATAGTCACAGCCAAACGTCTCAATCAGGTGGTGGGCAAAGAAGCGCTGCACGTTGTTCAACATACCCGTAGAGCGCCTGTTCAACTCGTGCACCTGGCCTGGAGGCAGCAGCATCGGCTGACCGTCAGGACTGTAACAGGAAGGAGAATTATGCCACTTTCAGAATTCCATTTCATTTGTGCGCACAGAATATCAATGATGTAAATCCAAACATGAATCTGAATGTGGTCTAAATTGGAGAGGTTTCTAATTCTCAGATACAACGCTGGTCCTCTACCTGCAGTAGTTGGTGGGAATGACCACTGCATAGCCCACGCATGTTCCTCCCAGGGTGTTCCCGAGCTCATGGAAGAGTCCATGGAACAGAGACTCCAGGGGCAGAATGAGCAGGAAAGTGCTCACAAACAAACTGTTTTTGGCCTGCTGAGCAAATTTACAAGAGTCACGTAAAGGAAAAAATGAAACAGGAAACAGAATAACCCGTGTGCTGCAGCAGTAAAGCATTTTTGAGACAGACCTACCTGCCAGCACAGAGCACCCACAGCTACCGTGGACACCAGAGTAAAGAACACCAGGCGTTCAGAGATGAGGCAGAAATGTCGCATGCCTTTGGAGGCCATCACCTTGTCCAGGCCGCTGACCTCCGACCAGCACAGCCTCTGGCATTCGCTGAGCTTAGAGTGAAAACCCCACACAGTGATGACAAACACCATGTGGCAAATACCCCAGAAGAGCGCACACACCACGAAGGCTGGGATCGTGCGGTACCACTGTTCCTGGTCTAAAAGTCTCACAGCAGAAAGGACGATGAAGCTCACCTCCACCGCCAGCAGGGGCAGGAGGGAGACCCGGCGCCACAGCCCCCTCCACACCAGAAACGGTTGCCAGCGCTCGGTCACAGAGAGGCCGCTGAAGTAGACATCGAGCAGAGGGTCGCAGATGAGCTGGCTGAAGAAGCAGGAGAGGGCGAACGGGTTGGTGGTAATGTTCAGAGACTTAAAGAACAGCACGGCAGTGATGACAGCGAAGCAGGCCAGGTTGGCGAGCGCCAGGAGCGCCTTCATCCGCAGCGCAACCATGACCGTGCCCAGAGCGACCACGAGCACCATCACGCTCAGGGACTTCTGAATGAGCAGCGCGGTGCTGGCGATCGCAAAGCCAGCTAGCTCCAGGCGCTCCGCGGAGGTCAAGAAGGCAGGGCGATACCTAGCACATCCAACCAGTCTCTCCAGCAGTGCCCACAGTGTCCTCAGAGCCACGCTGGCCAGCAGCAGGTAGTTGGTAACCTGCTCCCTGACGTCGACGTCCAGGGCGGGGGAGTTGAGGAAACACAGGAGACCCAGCAAAAAACCGAACCACAGGTGGAGGATGTTGAGGCTCATCCTCTCCATACTGAAGTAGTAGAGGCCAATGGCTATTCCAAGGACAACCAGGGCCAAAACAAAAATGACAAGAAGAGCGGACTCCGCGCTTGTTTCCCACCGGACATAGAGACCTATGCACAGGGCCACGAGCAGGTTAAGCCCGGACAAGTAGCCTAGCCACCGGACTGATGACCACATGCTCATCTCTCCGTTGACTTCCTCCAGCCGGGTCATCGCTGCGTGAAGGCAGTGACTGACACAGTAACGTAGAAAACGACACATTTTCCTTTTAAATTAAATACCAACGACCTGAAACTAAAAAATGGCATTTAAGTCAGATATTACCCGGTCTGCTATCCGCTGTGACATTCAAACTCGGTTTAGCCAGCGGGCTAACTTGTTGAAAGTAGTTAGCTTAGCTGGCGTTAGCTCCTCAGCGGCACATCTTCAGGACGGTTAGTGTCAGCGGTCAAAACACTCACATCTTGGATGTCACTTGTTTGTATTCTTCCATCTGACGTTTGGCACGATTATAAACGATCGTAGTTGGGTTATTCTGACGCCAGCCAGCGGGACTGTGAAAGACATCAGTTCAAAAAGTTTCACATCAAAACTTTTCAGTCAGATGACAGTCGCCATGATTGTGCTAAGACTACGGTAAGCATAAAGGGTCAGAACTGGTGTTGAAAAGTTCAAACGTCCAAACCGTATTGTTGATGCAGTTTTTTTTCTTTTACTTATTTATTTATTTATTTATTGAGTTCGCTCAGTTAAACTAAGATAAGACCCCCCGCCGCCAAAACAATAGAGTAAACTTTCTCCGTGCTGGCAGGAACTAACAAATGACACATTCAAGGAAGATCCGATTATTTGACCCCTGCATTTAGAAAATCCAGTTTGTTGCCGTTTTTCCCCCGACATGGTTTAGGCCTACATTTTCCCTTGTAGATATTTACAATTTAATTAACTTTTTTTTAGTAATCGCCTTTTTCCTGTGGACATGGAAGCGGTCTCTTCCATGATTTTACTTCTATCCTCAGGGCACGAGGGGTCGCTAAATGGTTTGACGAGCATGAAAATTATGTGAGTTGCATAGCTTCATATTCCCAAAATTTTAACCCTAGTTGAACGCTTATGGAAGACTTTGGACCAACGTCCCAGTCAGTGCACTCTGCTACTATTATTAAAACACCAGATGAACAATTGCATTTCTGCTTCTCTCCACTACAACTTTAGAGACTTTGGATGAGCATTGTTTAAAGCACACCTAAGTTGTTCTGATTTCTGTGTGGGCTCAATGTGAGACCCTACCAGCCACTCTTTTGACCACATATATGTTTAGATAACCCTTTAGAGATTAGAGGTCTCCCATCACTTTACAGGGGTGTCAAACATACGGTGCGAGGGTCAGAACCAGCCTGGCAAAGACAATAACTGGATGGCTTTGAAGGAGTTCATCTTTGTGTGGTGCATGTAATAGTTAAATAATGAAATTACCAAAAATTCCATCACATCACCAATTTCTTCACCATCTACTGAAGAAATTTTAGTTTTTCTAAAGTGGGTCTGAAAAAAAATCTGAATTAACAAAACGAGACTTTATAAAGTTGTTAAATTTTATAAACCTGATAATTTTAGATTTTATAAATCTGGGCAATAAGCTACAAGAACCTTTTGTTATTTTACACATTCTATCATGAAATTGCACTTTTTCCTTATATTATCATAATCTCAGGGATTAAAAGTTTAGTTAAATGTGTCTGCTCTGACAGAAAGGGGAGTTTCACTGCTCTGGCCTACTCGACGGTCTAGCCCCATCAAAGTGGGCTGTACGGGGCCCACAATGTAAAATAAATATGACATCCCTTCCTTACAAAAATACTAACACTCCTTTTTTAATATTATTAATTAAAAACTCTGCGGCCATGGGGTTTGAATGTTTTTTTTTTTTAAAAACAAAAAAAGCAAACAACAACTACTATTTCTGTATAGTACTATCAGAGGAAGATGAAGAACTTCTGACCAAGTTGTAAAAGAGAGCCGTGGACGTTCTAAGTTGTAAACAACTGATTTTTTTTTTTTTTTTAAATATAAAAATCTTAGCACAAAAGAAGGAACACACACCGCCACCTTATATTTACATTCATTTATAAAAGAGAAATACAATGGTACTGTAAGGACACATTGTTCTGCACTGTTGAAAATGCTGATAATGAAGATGATCCATATCATGCAAATAGGCCAAAAGAAACACTGGAAGACAAAAATCACAAAACACGCCCCTTTAAAGTCTGAATATGTACTGTGAATTTTTTTTCTCCTGTTAAAGATCAGGAAGAAAAAACAAAACAGCAGAGATATGCATTAACCAGAAAATGATATGGAAATGGCAAAAGCACACTGCATTACATAAACACATATCCACTAATATGATGGACAAAAAAAAACCACAGAAGGCACCTTATAGTTATTATTGGTATCGTTTTGTGGGCCTATCACATTGGTTGTAAAATTGTGAAAAGAAACAACATTTTGTGACACCCTTTGGGATCAATGATAAAGTGCCACTGACAAAAACAAAAAACCAACCAAAAGAAATTCCACACACTAGAAATTCACTTCTTCAGTCACACAGTCTAAGCCACACCCACACATTTAGTCTATTCAGGAACCAGCAGGAACACACAATAACATTTCACCTGGTAGTGTCTTAGCTAAAACCTCCCTGCAGCATACAGCATTTTCAGATCCGACCTCGCTTTCTAAATTTTACAATATTTCACCTTTTTTACAAAAGTGAGTGTAAATTTCTCTCTGTGATTTTTCTAAGGAACTCTGCATCTGCTTTTGTGGAGTGCTGTATTTTCACATCAAAGTTGTAAAACTGTGTCAAAGGAAACTGGTGTAAAGTCACTGACATGCAGTGTTGTACCAATCTGCTGCTTAAGACAAAAAAAAAAAAGATTAAATGCAACAGCAGTAAAAAGATCATTCAGAATGAAGTCAGTCTTTAAGAGAAGAGCAAGACAAAAACCTTGTACCTACTATGCACTTGTACCTTTTTAAACACAATAAGTAAACACTTAACGTTTCACATTAGTAAACCTACTAATACTACTGTATGGTTCTGAAAATGTTTCAAATGCTACAAATACCATTTTTTTGTTGTTTTTTTTGGTAAAAGATACACAAAATCATTCATAGAATGCCAAGTTACCAAGGCATTGCCACAATTTACAACACCAATGTTTGACTGTTTGACTATGGATATCTATTTCCAAACAATTTTTTTATGTCTTGGAAAACTAAAATGAACATCAAAAAAAAAAAAAAAAAAAAAGTTTTCAGGAAGTTGAGCTGTATGTGCCAGAAGCAAACACGCCCGTCTACTTATTCCATCTCTGTCTCACCAGTGCAATCAAACCCCCGTCGCGCTGCTTAGGTTTGCTGTATTTGGCTTTTTTGTACAGAGCAGCCTGCGACTCTAGCTTATTTCAAACAGAGACTGAGTACAGAATGTAGACAAGCTGACTTTTGATATTAAGAGGAGCGGGGAGTTCAGAGATCTTGCGGGTATTCGATTTCCAACTCTTAAAAAACCTAACTATTTATCAAAATATATCCATCTTTTGTGTGTGTGTGTGTGTGTGTGTGTGTGTGTGTGTGTGTGTGTGTGTGTGTGTGTGTGTGTGGATATGAGAAAATAATCTGTAAACTTTTCTTTCACACTGTGCAAACTGCATTGTTTTGAGAAGGAGTAGAAGTGGGGTAAGAATGCAGCTGGTTAAATTTGGCAGCGCAGCAGTTGGAGGGGAGACGACAATTAAGCCCTTTTCAGACACACTCTCCATTTACGGTAACCTGGCAGCATCGAAATGTGTCGGCTTCACATCTCAATCAGCATCCTGGTCGCTCTTCGGCAATGCCAATCTTTCTAGGTCAAGCCTTGAAACATTAGCGCGGGCACGGCACAAGTCTGCATGTGTCCCGTGCTTCATTGTGAGCTGCTCAGCTGACCAGAGGATGCATTAAACTTTCAAAAGCGTGGTTACACTTCTAAAAGCTGACACTGATAATACTGTGTGTCAAACCTCATGCTTGTACTGTAGCCTTCTCTCTCACTGTCAGGGGTATATTTGATTTAAAGCATTAGGAATATTAACTAAATATAATTCCATCGCTTTTACAGACTTTTGAAGCCAGCGATGTTATGCTTTCCATGTCTGAAAGGGGCTTTAGGTGGAGAAAAGGGCGGGAGGGTTGCTGGTTTAGCCTAGCTCTGGAGCAAGATGGGATCCTCTAACTCATGAAAGCCGGGGACGGAGCTGCTCTGGCTCTCCCCAGAATCGGAATCATAGGGTGTGTCTGGTAGCTCCGTGAAGCCCCAAGCTAGCTGGTCATCCTCAAACTCGGAACGCGCCTGCATTGTGATGTCTTCACAATCTTCCTCCTCATTGGAATTAAAGTCCTGAGGGATGTAAAGCATCTCAGGGTAGTTGTGTGACACCAGGTCACTGGTGGTGGCCAGAGACACCTTTCGGAAGGCGATGAGATGCATGTGAGAATACTTGACATATTTGTAGCGCTTGAAGCCCAGCGACTCTACCGCGACCCGCCAGCTGCGCATCATGAGGGCGTGGCGGTTTTGGTGAGAAGAGTCAGGCGTGATGATGAGCAGCAGGCCATGCAGCTCCAGCAGCTCATGGGCCTTCTTGCAGCAGATCCAGCGCTGGTATGGCGAGGGGAAGTAGGACAAAAGCAGGGAGAAGACCACCACGTGGAAAAGCTGAGCGGGCAGAGCATCGATGGGGTTATGGAGCTGGCGGAGGAAAGCCTCGACTGCATCACCCGCCAGCTGGAGCGGCTGCTGAAGCTGGAGGTTGAGGAAGTCACACTTGTACACACTCTGAAAAAGCACAAATTTAACACAAATCAGGGTTCAAACTTGATCTATGCCAGCAAACATTTCTACACAGCTCGTTTGTTTTCATGACTTGCAGCTGTTGGGCGTCACTTTTTCTGTGTTCTGCTGATTTTCTTCACATAGTCTAACCACAGCACTGGCAAAGGACATGACTCATTTCTGGTGTTGTTTTTGCTCTATAACGCAAACACCCAAGTGGGAAACTGTATCCATTTCATGTGAATAAACAAATGGTATAAAAGCACATAGTCAATTAAAATGTAAAACAGAATTAATATGCACTCGTACCTCAACCGCAGGCACTATGTCAATACCGACTGTGAGGAACTCGTCAAACTTCAAGAAAGGGTTAAAGCAGCTTCCCACATCAAGAAGGCGCATTTTCCCCAGCTGAGAAATCGAACTGTAGCACAAACAACAACATGCAATGCCTGATGAGTATAATACACAAAATCATATGCATTACACACACTATAGATAACTCTTTGTAATTGCACAGTCATACATAGTACAATAGTACAATGAAATTGGAAAACTGTCCCACATCGGCACTACGTACAACACGACACCACGGTAACTTAAGTAATAAAAAGAAGAATCAGTGTATGTTTATTGCACATTATTATTACTATAGAGTGAGGGCAGGTCGTAGCAATTCATTTTTCTTGTTTTTTGGACAAAGACTTTATGATATATATGATATAGAGTGTTATCTGTCATACTCATGACAGATAACACTCTTACTTCATCTTACCTGGGGATGGTGCTGTACGGCTGGGCACTCGTAGATGCTGTACCCACACCCATAGCAAGCGTGACACTTTTCTGATCCTTCTCTAACACTCTTTTCATTCCACCATCCAAAAAGTACTCTTGACAGACGCTGTGGAAGTGGCATCAAAACACTGCGTTTACAGAAGCTCATTTTACAGGCTCAGATTAGTCCGATTTCACCAGGCTCTATAAAACCTAAAAGATGCCCAAAGACCTTTGGGGGCGTTCATACCTGCGACACCATTCAATCCGGCCCTCTCCTTCACACTTTTTGATCCAATGGTTGTCAGCAAGATTCTTCATGGCGAGGGCGTACTCACTCAGTGTCTGCTCATCCTCGCAGTGCTCACGCCAGATCTTGTCAAAGTCGCCCACTAAGTGAGAAAATCAAACCCCCCTTAAAAATAAGGTCAGCAATATCCAAAACATGGCAAAAAACAGCTTCAAGTACTTCAAGTCTTACTCTTGTATGACGACAGAAAAACATTCACAACCTACTTGCAAGTTTTGGTTATCCACTAAATCACCAAAACCGGATCTTGGAAAAAAGGGGGGGGGAAAAAAACGGCTGAAAAATCTCAGGTCACTGCTGGTACTTCAATATTGCCTATGTCTCACTTGTTTCTGCTTGCACAGAAGCAGAATTGTGCATCTAAAAATAATAAATAAATAAAACAAACCCACCCTCAAAACAGTCATTTCACAATAAAAGTTATGTCCACAAAATTTTCCATTTGCAGCTGCTCAGACGTTGACAGCCAGTAGCACAAGCAAACATGCCAACAAGGGAAAAATCCCATGACCAGAAGGGAGAAAAGAAAACTATATAGGAGTTGGTGATAAACAGCAGTGCTTTCAAAACATGACCACTGTGATTCCATGCCAAGCCTACCAGATCATGCTTCGCTTATTAACCAATCATGAGATCTGCTCGCAGGATGACTTCTTTATGCTCTTCTAGGCTCCAAAACAAGCAGCTACTCTCTCCAGTGCTGAGGTCTTATTCAAACCACAAATTAATCCAAGCTCATTTTAAATACACTACCAGGGTTATGCAGTGTTTTATGGTGGTAAAGTAGGGCAGCGCATACACAAATAACACCAAGACTTGACATTTTAATATGCCTGCATTTTACTACGACACTATTTTAACTATTCAAAAAAAAAAAAAAAAAAAAAAAAAACAACTTTCCAGGATTTCTTTCATATTTCTGAGCAGTGAAATGGCCAACTGTATAATTTTGATTCAGAGCCGTTCAAATGAAACAAACTAGCCATGCATTCAAGCAGGAGATTAATTCATATTCTTAGTTTATACTGGAAGAAGAAAATATAAAGAAATCTTGCAAACCGTTGTGTCCTGGCCATTGACTCATCCAAAGATTTATTTCCTCTAGATATTTTAAATTTACCTCTTGTGCACTCCTCCCACATGGATTCCCTCACTATGCACAGCACAACATCATCACCAGAACAAATCCTAGCTTCTGTAGGATTTGTAGTTAAATTTAAAATTCAGAGGACGTTAAAAAATACATCTTTCATCAATATATCTTTCAACTGCTAACTCAAATATGGAGTTAACCGCACTGATTGGGCTGTAAAATAAGACAACAGATGCTACGTATGCATGCTGATGAGCTGAGATCGGGGTTTTCCAAACTTCCTTTTTTTTTCTTTTTTTTTTAAATTGAAGCAAGACAGATGGTTGGATGCTTATGAACTGATACAGTGATTGCAACTAAAAGATCCATTACCTCCTCCCATTTCATCTACTTGAACACAAACATCAGAGCATGTGGTTGCATTGTGTTTTGCATAAAAAGGGCCAATAATGATTTGGTCATTTTATTTGTATGTTGTTTCAAGGCTTGCCAAACAAAGAGACATTAATACCCACCAAATTAACAAATCAAAGAAATCACAGTAATCTGCTATTAAACAGACACTTTGTTGCTTCTTTAATCATCCCCAAATTGCAAATTGCCTGAAATAAAACTCAGAGTGGTAAACAAAGAGACAGTGTTTTCCCTTGTGACCAAAATGAGAATATTTATCAAAAAATAAAAAAGGAGAAGACTCATGCTTGTCTCTCATATGTAGTGGCCCCAATAATTTAAAGAAAGTGAATGATTCACCTTCCACAAACTTGCACAAACTTCCTTCTTTACATGACGTGTGTGCAAAGAAACAGCAGGAAGCAACAGCCACAGACAGGATTTAACCTGCTGTGTCGTCTTTGTGGTTTTTCTCCTGGCAAAAAGTAAGACGAGGTTCTTTTCCCCAATCTCAGCTCCACAGTTGAAGATCTCCTTTGGCTCTTTTATCCTTCAAGACACAGTTAAACCTCCACTAGAAAGGGGGGGGGGGGGGGAAGTTCTGGCCTATCCCAATGTGCCTTTTAATTAAATTATTTTCGCTGTCTGGCTCTGAACGGTAGCAAATCTCAGAAACAACACTAATTAGGTTGTATAAATTGCGGCAACTGTTTGCTCAGTCTACAGAGTTATCTTTTATTGACAACCGGGAGCCAATCGGAAGTTACTCTTTTTCTTTCACCAGTCAAATGTCACATGTGTGTTGACTAGGTTTGAGAGCGAGAGATAAGATGTTGTTTGCAGAAGAGCCTTGTGTAAGCTGCCACAATTTATTTCTAAGGAGCTTTAATCAAGGCCTCGCTTGCTTGGTGCAACCCGCTGCTGTCGACTGGAGTCTGCCACCACAACAGCTAATCAGAAGTAAAAAATAAAAAAAAAACCTTACAAATCCGTGATTACCGGATTAACCGCTAACTTTTTAACGTTACTTCAACATTTGTGAGATAACTAACAGTATCAGCCCATAGGCTGCAGGGCCACAGAGAAACAGAGGGGCCCACTGAGGCTGCTTACCCTCCCTGTATTTCCTACGCAGTTTTCTGTGGACGTTTTTGACGACTCCCGACAGTTTCTCCTGCTCCTTCTTGCACGGTGCTTCACTTGGAATTGGCACGTAGAATAGCTCCGACTGGTTTTCCGTCTCCCCGGTCTCGACATTGTCCCTGGGGTCCATAGCACCGCACCACCGATGTTACCCTCCGCCAGTCGTTTCCCCTTTTCCAGGCTGCAACCCGACCGGCGAACCGGCGCACGAGCCAACAACAGGGAAGCCGATTGGCTACCTGGAGCATACACGCGTCATAAACTGACAGCGCGTCGTCCAATCACAGGCGTGGAAGCATTCTTGAGCTGGCGTGCGTGCTGCGAAGCGTTCAGGTGCATTTGGAAATCTGTAAATTGCTGAAAAATCGTAAACAACACATCAGAGTGTTGTTTTGTGTTTTGCAAAAGTTTTTATCTACAAAAGAAAACTAAACTTTGTTTTTTAGCCAACTGATTTATTCGTTTAACCCCTAAAACTATTCAAAGATAGTATATTACAAAAAATGTATGTTCTTAGACAATATCCCACTGAACTGAATAACTTTTTGTGTGTTTTTGTCGTTGTTTGCTTTCTTTTATTAGTTCTCCAATTAAAATATTGGACATGTGTTGAAGAAACTACTGGAAGCCCTTCCTGTAAAATAAATTTGCTAGCATTATGTATACAAACCTTGTTCTGAAAAAGTTGGGACACTGTATATTATGCAAAATGACATCAACGTCATCATTATCACAATATACAGTATCACCAACAGGTGATGAGACTCTGGAGAAATCTCTGTGTGCAAGGGAAGAGGCTGAAAATCAAAACTGGATGCCCTATGGCAGCACTGTCATGTAAATCACTGCACAAGCTCAGGAGCACTTCCAGAAATATCTCACTGTGAACATAGTTCAACGTGCCATCCTTATATATCATTTCCCTTCTTTGCATGAAGCCAAACGATTTTTATATTATAACAGACCCATATATAGGATCTAGTCCCCCGCCTCCAACCCCCATCATGATTTAAGACAGGGTGACTGGAGAGGATGTTCTGTCCTGTTAAATGGGATAGTGTAAGAAGGATCATTTCTAAAGCTGTACAGATATTAAACCTTTGAAAAGATGATGCAATGTTTTCTAAAATAGGCTAAGAATTTGAAAACCCACAAGTGATGCCAATCCATGGTTATTGTTTCTGGAAATTGGCTTGGAAAATCCTGATGGAGAGCATTATAGTCTGAGATGGTAATTTGACTCTGGCTAATGAAAACAAACTGACACTGTCTGAACAACAGGGGAAAAAGTTAAATACCATATATGTCAATGCTGTTTGCAGGACAACATCTATTATTAACTGCATGTTCAGTCATTTCAGAATATGAGGTAATGCCTTACGGTGGACACTGTGTAACCCCAATGAAAATAAAATAGTCACTAAATCCACATTGGTAGTGGACTTATTACATCTGTGTTCAGCAGAACCATGTCCACATGGACTCGAGGTAATAACAAATATTAGAAATCTACAGTTTTATCACAGGGACTACATTCTACAACATGAATAAAATTTTAGATGCCTTCCTGTTGTGTGTGGCTGATCATGTCCGTCCCTTTATGACCACAGTATTCCTATTTTCCAGTGGACGCTTCCAGCAGGATAATAGAGCTCAAAGCTCAAATAATTATAAACCAGCTTCTTGAACATGACAGTGAGTTCACTGACCTCAGATGGCGTCCACAGTTACCAGATCTATGTCCAATAGAGCGTGCAACAGAATATTCACATCATAGATATGCAGCCAACAAATCCACACTAACTGTGTGACGCTATGTTAATAGGGACCAAACTATCTGAGCAGTGTTTCCAGCACCTTGTTGAATCTGTGAATTGAGGCAGCTCTGAAGGGATAAGGGGAGTCCAACCTGATTTTAGTACAGTGTACTTTATGAAGTGTCTGAAGAGGGTGTCTATTTATTTTCAGTTTAAACACAGATTTCATATGAAGTGAGGACAACTGTAGCTTTATTTAAACTTTTGTTGTAGTTATAAATTGTATCCAAGTAAAAACACCTAAAAAGAGGTCAGATAGGCACCTGTTAGTCTGACAAAGACGACAGTTGCCTGACTATCTTTCACTTTGTAAAAGTTATTAAACAATCCAAGAGGTATAGGGTTTAGTCAACATGTCAGCCATGCTAATAAAACTGCATTGCTATTGCTCTAAAGGGTTTGCTTCTGAGAGAAACACCTTTTTAGGTCAACTAACTGGGTAGTTTCATGGCTGCAAACTAAACAAAGTCAGTGAGCTTCCAGACAAAAGACAGCATTACAACGTGTTTCACATGATACCTCGGAACCATCCTGTCTTTATTTAGAAACACTTCAAATCAAAAAGAAGCCCCTGTTTATACCTTTTGTGTGTCCGGCTTATAAATGTTATGGTGTTTCTTTTTAAAAGGGAACGCTAATCCTTTTTTCCCTGAAGTCATACAGCAGCTGTGTTCAGCTTGCACAGCTAAAAGTCAAAGTTGAAAACAAAAGTTATGGGTCCAAGTGACTTGATTTCTATCTGGGTTTATTCATTCATCCCAGGAACTTCAATGACCCCACTCAAACCATTGGGGTGAGTGTGACCTGGCCAAAGAAGATACTAAACGCTGAGTTGCTCCCGGTGCGTTCACTGGACTGTAAATGTTAGTTAAAAAGCACTTAGATGCAGGAAAAAAGTGATGTAACTCAGTATCATGTGTGTGTGTGAATGGGTGTGGCATACGGTGTTTTGACAGCTTGAGCAGAAAAGCACCATTTAAGAACCATTTACCTCACCTCAGGTGACCTCAGTCGGTCACATGATGGATTGGGGAAAGGTCTCATAATGGTTTCAGCCCTTAATCCCTGGTAACAGTAATGACTCATACCTTTTACCAGAGTCTAAATACTTGGACCCTCTACCATTTTTTAGAACCGAAGAAGCCTCTTGGATGATTAGAAAAACATCATCACAAACCCAAAGAAATCCAATTTCCTTCCTTTCCTTAGTCTCTCAAGACTACCCTGACCTGGATGAACCTGCACATGGATACTGATTTTAAGGCTACACCTAAAAACAAAAAACATGCGCATGACATCTACACTAAAAAATAAATGTAGTATAACAGAAAAATATTTCATTTTTTTAAAGCATGATCGAAAAATTAAAATTAAAATTAAACATTCTCATTAGCTTCAGTGAGTAGTGTATTTCACCTTGAAAAAGCTGCAGAACTGATCAATGTAACCATTGTAATGTAGGTTTTATGTACAGTGAAGCATTGAGAATAATGACTTATGACAGCAAACGTGTGTGATATCTGCCTAACTGTGTCTTCTTGAGCTTAATTTGGACTTCTGCTGGAAATCTACTTCCTAACTCACGATGTAACCGGAAGCCCCTTTTCCCCCTACGCCACATCCATCCACGCTGTTCGAGTCGATGCTGCGACACCCCGACATGTAGTTACATTTCGGTGGGCTTGCAGCAGGTCGCGCGGAAGGTTATGGTTCAGGGTTAAAGGAGTTTACAGTATAAGTAACAGCATAGATCTCCTGCAAAAATCAGTCTAAATCATGCATTAGTCATCACTGGAAGAAGAATTGGGTATCACATCAGTACCATGTACACTCTGAAAACCTTTAAAATCAAACATATTGTTTTTTTTAATTATTATTATTACATTTTAATTCAGCCCATTGTGTTGTCATTTTTAACTGGTTACTTCTCTTCTCGGCAGCAGAGCCAAACCAGAGATATCAAGTAGAGGCCCAAACAGGCAAAAAAGTCATAATGGTATGCCACAACTAAAAACACCACCAGCAGGGTTGCATATAGCAGTGATTTTGCAATATTGCTACAGGAAAACGTGTCTGTCCAGGACAAAACACTCTGACCCATGCGCTCCTCTGCAGGGGAAACAGCGGCATTGCTGTCTTCAAGCTTCTCCTGAAGGCAACTGAGGTGTTGTTCTTCATCGTGATATTCAGTGATGGGCGGCATAGTGGCAGACAGCAGTTTGGTTCTGCTTAGACGGGGCCTTTTGCTCACAGTGCTCTTGTCTTCGTGGGACCATCCTCCTGTGCCGACGGCCCTCAGGCAGTGCATGTACAGCTCCACCTCATCGCCCGAGTCCGACTCTGCTGAAGCGCTGTCCTGGCTTGTTTGATCACTTTCAGGTTCATCCGTTAAAGCGCCCCCCTCTGCAGCGGCACAACCATTTCCATCTTCTGACTGAGCTTTTGTGGTGTGAAGACATTGTTTTTCAGTTTGAATGTGTGCACTTTGCTCTTCTCCTATACTTTCTTTCACTGGTACGCTCTCGTCGCCATCCTTCAGCCCACTGTGCACCAGAGCAGATAAAACCTCTCCATCCTTGCTTCCTGTAATTTCTAACTTCTCTTCCAAACACAGTTCTGGATCTTTTTGTTCCTGTTTCGCCACACGTGAATGTGATTCTACAAGCTCCGCCTCTACTGCTCTGTAATTTAGGAATTCGTAACGTGGATCCAGCTCCTCTCCGTTTCCCTCCTTTGGTTCTTTCTCCCACTCTGCTCCGCCTTCACCTTCCTTATTCAAGTTTATTTTCCCATCTCCCTTTATCTCCTCGTTTTCTTGGATGTGTGCCCATTCAATACTGACCTCTTTTCCTGCAAAGTGTTTTTTTGTGTGCAGCTCTGTCTCTACTGGTCCCTCTGTTTCTTGTACTTGGTTCTCCTCAGTTAATTCTTCCCTTCCACCTGTTTTGTTCATCTTTATGACTTGAGCACATTCTACCTCAGTACTGGCACCATCTTCTCCAGAGACAGCCTCTCCGATTGTTTCGCTGTCCTCTTCTACTCCTGTCACTGCCCTCCCCTTGACAAATTCCTCATTTTCAATTTCTTTTTCTCTTACTTCACAGACGCCCGGATTTAAATATACTATCTCCCTTTCTTCTTCGTGTATTAAAATGTTGTTTTCTTCTTCTTTAACCATCATTTCCCAGTCCTTCACTTCAGTGATTTCTCCTAAACAGAGAGCCTCCTCCTTAGCTTTGATTTTGCAATGCTCTGTTTTTTCCTGTGTCTCTGTAGTCACGCATTCAGCCAACTCCCCTGTTACCTCAGTTTCACCAGAGGATTTTGATTCATCTTTGAGTGAGCCGTGTGTCATTTTACTGCCTTCTCCCATGTTGTTAGTTTCTCCTCGAGCTTCCAGAAGTGTCTCGGGTGTTGTGAAATCTGATTTCTCCACAAGTTTGCAGTCAGGAACAGTTGCTTTTGTAACTGAATTGTCATTGTGGTGCAAATTCAACTTATGCAAGTCTTCACATGGTTTAACCTCACTAAAAGATGCGTTACCAGGACACAGAGCTTTGATTAACTCACATTCATGGCGTTTTTCTTCTAAGTCGGCGCTCTGTTGGTCAGGTTCTTCATTAACATGTCCCAGCAGGTCCCCAGAGCTTTCAAGTTTTACAAATGATGTTTGCGGACTGGTCCTGACTTCATGTGTATCGCTTTTTGCGTGCGTTTCATCCAGATTAGTTTTATCATGTGTACATGGATTCTCTGGGAGTGGACACTGTGTTGTGTCTGCTGTAATTTGGCCTTGGGGGTCATGTGTTACACTGTCTTCCTGTGCTTCTCCCCAGGGATGTAAACTCTCAGCCGGTATTTGTGGATTCAACAAATCTGCTTGCGATAAAATGTTTACAGTCTCAGGACAGCTTAATGTGTCTTCTAAACAAGTTTGTGAACCCTTAAGTGTGCTTGTGCATCTCCGGTCTGTATTTTCAGTCCCAGCCAGAACCTGCAGAGTCTCTGCATTTAATGTCAGACTTAAACTTGCTTCTTCTTCTTCTTCTTCTTCTTCTTCTTCTTCTTCTTCAACACGATTATTGCATGGTGCTATGTCTGTGCATTCCTGGTTTGATTTCTGGTTATTAATCACATTTCGAAGTGCTTTACTATTGTTACTTTTAATATCTGTTGAAACAGTGCAACTAATCTGTCTCATGCCAGTGTGAGGATGTAAGCCTCCAATATTCAGTGTAGCCCGTGCAGGATTTTCCCAGCCAGCTCCTCTCTGACTTTCACTTCCCACTCTGCCAAACACCTGGTGATACAGCGGAGCCACCACAGTGCCAAATGTGAAGCTGCTGGTCTGGCCAACAAGGCTTTCATTTCTCACTGCTGTTCTGCTAATGTATTCATGACCCATGTCTGCCTCCTGACTACTGTCCTGAGATTTGGTATGTTGCTGTTCTGCTTGAGCAAAATTATCAAACAGGTCATCTTGGATGTCCGTGGCACTCTCACCTTCTGCTAATGTGACTGAGGCAGCCAAAGCAATGCTCTCAGATTTCTCTGGCTCGTTCTCAGACGTTCGGTCAAGTGCTGGTGACAAAACATGTGAAACACTGAGGAGGGGTTTGCTGCACTTTGCTTGGGAACCTTCTGGTTTGCGGTTGCTCTCAGCAAACAGTTGCACATCTGTATGGCTTTCCTTTGGGGTTTCTTCTCGAGCTGCCTGTGGTACCCCTGGAGGTGATTCGTCTCTATCTGCGTTGTTGGCGTCTCCGTTTCTTTGAGCAAAGTAGTCCCTCACCCGGGCCATCCGTGCAGCCTTTCTGCGACTCCTTTGGCTGTCGTTTACTCCACTCTCAATCTGTCCACCAACACAGATAGATTCATTTCAACAACATGCCCCTTAAAGAAAACCAAGTGAGGTAAAATTTAAAGCTGCATTTCTCACAACAAGAAGACATTAAAAAAAAACAAAGCATGCCTGACTAAATGTAATTGAAACTGTGAGAAAGCACAAACTGCAAGTATCACTTCTTATTTATTTTTTTTAGGTGCACAGCACATTATGTTATACTGGTGGTACCCAACTCCAGTTATGTGACCCTCTCTGAAAAAGTGCACCAGGGTCATGTTAAGCTCTCTGCTCCTCCTGCACCTCACAGTCATACCGATCCTTTAAATACCTTTACACTGCTAATAATACATCATATATGTAGAAAACTTAACCCTAACCCTAACGCAGGGATGTCAAACTCATCTTACATTATGGCCCACTTCAGTGTTTCGTGGGCCTGACCAGTGAACTACATGTTTAATCCCTGAGATATTATTAAAAAAAAGGTACAATATTAATAATACATCTCATTTTTTTCTACATGATAAAGAAACGTTGCTGTAAAATGAAAAGAATCTGTCAGCACTACTCTTTGGGTTGTAACGAATGTTCAGAATTACAATAAAAGGATAGGAGTCTTTGCTGGGCCGATTGTGGCCCCTGGGACTTATGTTTGACACCCCTGCTTTACAACATTTTGCATGTGAGGATTTACAATGTCAGGACAGAACTGGAACTGTTGCGTCATCAGTCATATCGGCAACATTTTTTTTCCACTCACCAGTAATTTCTGTCCATGTTCCTCTGACATTCCTGACTGATCATTCTTAGATTTCAAAGTGTCACCCTCTAGTCCACTGTTGGCCACATCTGGAGACAAGAAACATTTTATCTATGATCCTGCTGGGCTATCAACGCAGTTTTCTTCAATTTCAGGTCATTTCTTCATTTCACAGTGGGGAAAAGGAAAATTTTCACCTGCTGCAATATTTCCCTGTGTTGACGACTCCTTTCCTGAACTGTTTTCCACGCTGGAGTTCGAACTGTAATAAGTTAATTAATTAAAAATGCGATCAGTCAGGGTTAATTCGCTTTTCTTTTTCACGTAGCTTCAGGTGATTATCGTCAATCAACAAACCACGTAAGGTGACAGTGCTGAGATACACAAATTGTTTTGATTAAAAAGTGTTAAATTGTTAAAAACTTGTAAGTATTTATATGTGTGAGATGTGAAATTGTGTATTTTCTAACTGTGACTGTTGTCCATTTCACAAAGTCTAGATTGGTTATAATGTAAAAAAAAAAAAAAAGAAAGAAAAGAAGAAGAAGCATATTTCTTCTATTTATATGAGTTATTCAAATTATAGACCTCACATAGTCATCACCAAAAAAACTTAAGTTACAAAACTAACTAGCAAAGGACATTTTTAATGAATAGTCGATATTTAATTCAAGGCAGGAAATGGCCTTTACAATCTTCCATAACAAGCATAATGGACATTCCCCTGACCATGCACAATTCCTATAATTAAATAAACCTAAAAAATGTGCCTAAAAATGTTTTATGAAATCACTTTGTATTCTCACCTGGCTGTCTTGAGGCAGCTTTTCTTGTTCACGTTTTCCTTCTGTGGCTGATCGTTTTCCTTTGTTCTGCGGAAACATGACAGCACGTAGTTCTTGTTGGCGTTGTTGGCCCAGAACGTCCCCACAGGTGTTTCATACCGCAGACAAAAGTCAACTCTGGCCCCCTCTTCCCGAAATGGAGGCCACAAAGTGAGCGTGAATGAGAAACAGTCCGTCAGCCCATCGCTGGAACCAGGGATGTACTCAGCCAGGAGGTCAAAGTGGCTGGACCAGCAGTCCAAAGTTGTTCGAACATATATCGCCTTAGTGAAGGAGATGTTGAGGACGCGCACCACCGCTTTTACTATTGTGGTCCCTGGAAGTAACTCAATTTTTTCCAGCTCTACTTTCTGCTCCTGGACCTTGGTCAGTAGCTCCTCGGTTAATAACGGGAGGGAAAAATTAAGAGGTGAAAGAATGTATTCATCTTCATCATTGCCTTCCCCATCAGATGTGTCGTATCCTGGCAGTTTGGGCACGTCCCACGTGTCGAACTCCTTCACTTGAACCAAATTGAGGCCTTTGGCATCTGCGAAGGAAACTCTCCTGGAGCCACACATGGGAGGCTCAGGCTCCGAGTCCTCATCAGACACAGAGCTCTTTCTCCGTGGGAGAGGAGAGGATTTAGGCCTGAGGCCGATGACCACCTCGCCCTCATCATCGTCCACGTCCCAGGAGCTGAGGACTGGGACTCCTAAGAAGTTACAGGCCCCAGACCCTCTTGGCTGCCCCCAAAAATCCATGAAGCTCTCTGTGAGAGACTCAGCGTGAAAATGAACTGTGCTGCTTCTGGCAACTGACATTCATGCTCTGACTTAACAGATGGAGTCAAATTACAGATGACATTGTTGCGAGGGCCAACACTATAAATAGGCCAGAAGGGACTTAAACTATGTGCAGTAGTCTAAGTCTTCTCCTGAAGAGAATGTATGACCCAGTGCCGTATTTGTTTTTTTGTTTTTTGAGGGCTTGTATGACCTAATCTAAACTATAAGTTGATAATCATCTAAGTTTCTTATTACAAAACCACCCCAAAGTCTAAATATTTTGTGGACATCTTTGTAGAATCCATGACTCCCAAAGGAGTTATAATGTTATTTTTACAGCCACATGGGATTTACCATGGAAACTATTTATGTTTTGTTACTTCTGGCCCACAACGGGCTCCATTGCACTTGCATCCTGTTTAAAATCATTTCAAATCTGTGAATATCTGATAATTTAATAGCTGTGAAAGTCTCAAGGTGAGAAACAGTCATTCCACATTAGATTTATCTATTATCCACCTATCACATTGGCAGATACCATGATACAGTTTATGGCTCTAGTGTGTAATATTTCCTGTATTTATCTTATAGGTGACAAATTTGCATAATTGCCAAAAAAGTGGTGAGCGCTTAGTATTAGTGAGTAAAACATATTGTTTAACAATGAATAAGAATGAATGGTAAGCACTTGATTGATTCGTATGAGACAAGGCTTTTGTCCAGGCTGTTAGAGGATGTGATGCAGACAGAATACCTTTAGTGCAGTGCTCAGTCGTGGAAGGTAGGGTGAAAATAAACCATGAATACAGAGGAAGGAAGCGTCATGCTACATATTATTGACACTTTTTACAATATAGAAGAAAAAAGCAGGAAGTGATTTTAACCATGTACCTGAGACAGAGGAGAGCAGCATCATTATAGAACAAAACATGAAGCAGTATTTACTTTTAAGACAAGTATTGTATTTTGTATGCATTCATTTATTTTTCTTTGTTCCTTTTAAACATGTTCTAAGAATTTGTAACTCAGTAAACATCCGATAAGGGCAGCCCGACAGATGTTTACTGTAAACATTATGTATCAGTAGGTAATGGATAATAGGTAGTGATTTGTAAATGAATGTAGATAATATTATACTACATTATATTTCAAAATAACTAGGCAGCTCATGCTCTTTCTCTTGATCATACTTTTTTAATAGCTAGAAATCTTTTTGAGGTCAACTTGAAAGAAAGGCAGATGAGAAAAGTAATGAGGTCAGAGGTCAAGCATCACATGATATTTCAGTGCAGACTATAGTGTGATATTTAGCGTCCTCATATAGCAGCATCATTTCCTAAATGTCACCAATACAAAGGCAGTAGAATTTTAAGTGCAGTTTTAAAGATAAAAGTTATGAAACTTTGACCTTATTTGACTCTGAAGAAGAGGCCAGACGTCCCCAGTAAAGCGATATTTAGAATTCCCATATATCATTCCCTATATGCTTATATGTAGTCAATATAGGCATATAGGGAATATTTAGAAAACATAGTTTCTCACATTTTTATTTTTTATTTTATTATCTATTATTATTATTTATTTTCATCTTTACAAGGTACTTTCTATATGCTGATAATACACATTACACTTATAAGAATCGTAGTTTCTAATTTATAAGGCTTTTTGTCCATTTTAAAGACCTTGGTGGATGGAAGTGAAATTTTAATGGGTTATTAATATGACCCCACTCAAAATTCATTCAAACCTTTTCGAGCTCTATTTGGTGTATAACCTCCTTGGCGGCAGTAATAACTGCAACGAATGCTGTTAGAACCTTTTCCAGCATCCTTACTAACTCTTCCTAAATCTTCTGAGGACACACAGACCTTGTCTAAGCTCTTACTCTGTGGTGTTGCTCTGATTGCCAAAGTCATCCTGTCTTCCCTCTCCCAGAAAATCAACTTGAGGTTTCTCTATCTCAGGAACCCCGGTCTTGTTTGGAGGAACAGCAACGAGCACAACGACTGGTTTGTGAACCGAGTCCTTGGCTCAGGTGGAGCCACAATGCCGTCTGCAGGACACGTAGAGGAATAAAATGAGGGGACCTCATCACATTATGAGCCTTAGTGCATCACAGTGGGTTGGTTGCTGAACTGAAAGAGAGTCACACACAATCAAGGCTAGGACACCACCACCCTTTAGGTTTCCAGTCTCCAGTTGTGAAAGAGTGAAACAGTAAAAGAGTTTAGAAAAACAAAAACAAATAAAAGAACTCGTTTCAAATCCCTAAATGATTTTATAATGAAACAGAACAAGCTGGAGGCAGAACAAATATAAGATGTGAATACAAACGACACTAGTAGTATTTAATGATGTATTGACTTTTAATTCCATGGTGTTTTCCAACTGTTATTATATCCATATTGTGATTTTGATACTTAATTGCTTGTAAGGTGTCCTTGAGTGTCTTGAAAGGTGCCTATATATAAAAAACACATTATTACCTTTTTCATCCAAATTGGAAGGCAGGTAAATATTAATCCAGTAGGTGGCAGAAAGTTACCTTGGTAACAATATACACAAGTCAGTCATTACCTGCTATGAAGTCTAATCTTGTACTTTTTGTGAAGATGTACAAGTCCATTTCCCTCAGCTGTTACTTCTGTGAATATACACGATGTAAAAGGCTTCTTTTTAACACGTTTTATTGTGCATTATTGCTATAAATATTTTTTAAGCTAACACATTAATTCTTTGTCTGGATTATTTGAGGGGAAACTAAAGGTTTCTGAGCCTTTCCTTGCGATCCCTCATACCAACAAGAGATAAATTACAAGGACGTGGCTGTCTGGCCTTTAGTCCTCACCCTCGTCGAGGACGTTTATATGATAAAGGTGGCACGCTGAGAGTAAACATTTTTTTAAAATAAATCCATAATGATTGTGCAGAACTGTCTTCCACAAAGTTTATTTTGTCTCAGACATGTCGAGAGTCATTCAAAGTGTTATTTGTCAGTTTGTCAGCTGCGTGTCTGCACTCTAGGGTATACTGCATTCATCAGCAGGCTAAATTAAACACTTCTATTTGTTTTTATGTACTGCTGTGTTTTGTTTTTTTTTTTTTAATTTTCAAATGTGCAGATGCAACTGTAAATAGCTCTTTGATAAGAGTTTGACAGTTGTGTGGTTAGAGAGCCCTTTTTTCAGACGTCTTAGATACTGAATATCTAAATAAAGTAAAACTATACTTGTCTTCTCTAAGAAATGTAAAAAGGACTCTTTGTTTTTCATTTAAGGCAATAAATGATGTGTGTTAGGGGGCGTTTTGCTTATTGCACTGTGCACATCTATGAATATCTCAAAGAAAAATAGTGTCAGGATTAAAAAAAAACAGGTAGCTGGGAAGCACAACGCTGTGTGTGCTGTATGCACTAATGTGAATAATACATGTTCTATAAATGTTTGTATTCTTACAGTGTAAATGACATTAATCAATTCAAATTTTAAGAGGAGATTTTTTACATTGCAGGAGACTTTTGCTGGCACTTTTATGTTTTAAATATATTTGTAGCGCCAGCTGATTTTATAATATTGTTTTTCCTGCTCACAGTGCTGTGACTCCTCCCCTCGAGGTAGTCACACAACTCCATCAGTTATCTCTCATCCACACTCCAAACTGCCTAGTTGAAGACACCAACTCTTCTTGGCTGCTCTGAATTCAGCTGTTCACCTTAACGGTACGAAGCTTTTGTTCGTTTTCAGTAGGAGAGCTTAGATTGTACTTCCTGTGCATTTCAGGACTTTATATGAAAACTTAAAGTCATGTTTTATGTAACAGGATATGTGTTTAAACTATTGTTAGGGAGCTTTTTATTAGCTTTGCCTTTGTGCAGTGGTAAGATATGTTGACTAATTTTCTTTAATGCCTATACATGTTATAATCTATAGATCGATTTTCTGGATACATCCGGTTACAATCAATCATTCTGACTTTTGATGGTATTAAATGATTAAATCTTACAGGGTATTATCGTTTAAATGTTAGGAAGTCAATAACAGGTCAAAAAAAGCATGCACTGATGTTTTTTATGATTGGCATTCATTAAAATTGTTGAAATCTTTACTTGAAAGTCAAAAATGTATCTATATTTTTTTTGTCAGCAGTCCTCTAAATATTATCTGCAGCATATTTCAGCCTATTTTAGGCCTTCCTTGAAACATTTTATTTTTGTTTTGGTTGTAAGAATATTTTTTAATTAGATTTTCTTTGTCCTGTCTTTGAGATTTTCTTTTTTTCAAATAGCAGTAGAAGTTTGCAGCTTACATCTTTGATAACCAGCTTCTTTTATGATGTTAGCTGAGATGCCAGAGTCCCCTCTCAGTCCCACAACAGCCCGTCAAAACCCAGCCAGCAGCCTCCTCAGTCACACAGACAGTAGTGGAGGGGAAAGAGTCGCTAATGGGAACGCTGGCACTCTGAGTGGCGACGACTGGCAGACTCTTCAGCATAAACAGGTACGTGTGTGTCCTGCTACTCCTTCATCGTGCCCCTCATCCTCCTTTTCTTCATCCTTCAGCTCATTCCTCTCCTTCATAAGTGGAAAACAGAACACTCTTCTTCAAACAGATGTCAAGAGAGAAATACCCCATGGCCTCATATTGGATATCCTCTGGCAGGACACGAAACCCAGAGCTCACGGCTCTGTTGACAGTGACAAAGATTTCATATGAGATCTGAGGGGAGCGGGGAGTTGACACACAGAATTCTTGTTTGTCCTTCGTTATTAGCTTGTGAGTCAGAGCCAGGGAGGAATAATTGTGCACAGACCTAGGTCAAACAGATGCAAGTGAACGGCAAATAAGCATGGCCCAACACAATTTTATGGTTGTCTCTTGCAATTCCATCCCTGGTAATCTTAATCTAAGGGATCAATGAAACAACTGAGATAATTAGCGGCCAGCAACAGCGCTTCCTCCAGTCCGTCCTGTCATCTTGTCACTTTTGTTCTGTTCTATTCTTCTAATTCACTTTCTAAATCTGGACTTCAACTGCATGGTGTTAATATTTAAAGATCCTATTTTTGGGGGGGGGGGGGGGTATTTTCAGCTGACATAATAACTTTACCCTTTACCCAGATTCTGGTCTTCAGAATTTAATAATGACTTGTGATATGAATATTTTTTTTTCAATCTGAAAACCCTAAAAATATTACAAATAAGGACTATTCATGTAGAAAACAGTTTTTTTTCCTTTGATAATAAAAGGCAGGGACCTTCATCTTCAATGCATTTCTTTCTTACCTGTATCCAGGCTGCACGCAGCAAATGGATGCACGGTGATTTGTAAAGTGCGATAATGAAGCCAGCTGCACCTACATGCAAAAGAACATTCGGGGAGAACAAAAAAAGTTTGACACATATATTTGTCAGTCTTGTCTTAAACTTTTATATTTTTAAAAACGTGGCATAACCACCGTGTGGTTTGTGTCTTTTTGGGGTGTGGTAGTTGAACTTTTTTAAAGCTTATTTTTTTCTTTGCTAATTTTGGTAAAGCGTCTTTGTCCTCCCCCTGGTTTTTGAGAAAGTATGTCTACATAATCTTGATGGTTGATTTAACTTCTGCCAATCAACCAGTAAATTAAAAGGCCAGCTGTTTCAGCACTAAATAAGACCACTGCACCTCCTTCCTTCCTTGTTCTTCATGTAATGCCTATTGCTCTTAACTTTCTCAGTCTGGTTGAACACAGGGGGCAACATCTCAATGGACTGATGGGTGGAAAAATTACAAACTTGAAGTCCTTGGTGCATTCTTTCATTACATCCTGCAGGCTGCTGAGATATTACTTCAATATGACAGCTTTACCAAACCCAAAGAACAGCTTTAGTCTTTATATAACGGTTGATGTTTTATATATAGATAAGGAAACCACATACTGCAAAATTCAAATAAATTATATTTTCCCCAACAATCATTTAGTAGCACCTTTTTTATGTGTTGTTTGTAATACAACATGTGGAATATGCATGTTGTTGTTTCTTAATGCAGTCATGGTAATTGCTGTAGGCTCTGTGTGACTACAAAGGGAGACAATAGCCTTGTTATTTGTCACCCTATCAGTGACAGCGCAGATCAGTTATTATTCTGGGAGTGTTTGCCTTTATTAATACCCATACACTTCTATTAGGAGCCACAACAAGCTTGAAATTGTGTTGCTAATTAACTGGTCAGCCTATCTCCAGTCTCATTTTGGGTCAGTGACACAATCCAGCATGATGATGTTCACAAAAGGTTGACAACACTGTTGTGTAATTGGAAAGATTCCCATTTGATGGTTATTACTGTTTATCACCTGACACTCTGTCTCAGTTATTGTTTTGACTGCACTCCTGACTGTCCTTTAAAATGTTGTCCTTCCTCTTCTTCTTTGAGGTCTTTCTTGCTATGATGGCCCCTCAGCAGATTCAGCAGTTTCTGGCTCCCAGCCAGCTGCAGGCTCTGATCCACCAGAAGCAGCAAGCCCTTCTGCTTCATCAGGTATTTGCACAGTTAACATATATACATGTCAGGGTGGTGGTGTTTGATAAACATGACTTACATAACACAGCAAAGTTTGTAAATTGGCTACTATATTTGTTTATTTATTATTTGCATATACATATAATTATTATGATTGTTGTTAACTTAGCCTAGTTTACTAGCTAAGAGAAGTGACTTAGCTAGCAAGCGTTAAAAAACGACAAAACTCTTATCAATGGGAATTTATGACAATGAGAATACATTGTGGTTATAAGGTTAGATATTTGAGTTAATGTTACTGCAAAATGATTTAGACTGAGGCCGTGATTAACATGAGCTTAATGCTATCAAGGTGAGCTAATTTGTAAGCTAGTCATTCCAAAGCAAACTGGTGTTTCAAAGTCAACCAATCAACCAATATGTATAATAATAATAATAATAAAAAAAAAAAAAAAAAAAAAAAAAAAAAAAAAAAAATTAATAAATAATAATAATAATATAATAATAATAATAATAATAATAATAATAATAATACAATAACACAGCAGCTTACTAAATGTTATAATACATATTTAACATTAGATAAAGTGCAAAAGTGCTAGTGCTAGCACATTATGACTTATACTAGGAGAACCAAAAGGTATAATTATTAAAAACGCTTCTGGATTTTAACTCAACCTTTTCACTTACCTAGACTTTCTCCACTAAGGTTTAACTCCATCTCATTAAAGAGAATGTATTAATTTTGGCTTAGTACCATCATATCACCAAGATGTCAGTATTTAAAATGGCAATGTTAGCCTATGACCCCTTTCTTCTGTGGTTTCTGTTGTTGTTGCTTTGTTGTTATTTATTCTCCTCTTGTAGCAGGGAAACAACAAAGAATCATGATTTTTATAAAGAGTTTGCCTGGATTAAAGTGTTTTAATGCTTAAGCACGCAGTCTTTGAACAGGTTTAATATCAGACAGCCTATACCCAGCTAGTGTGTCTGTAAATCTCTATCTTCAGTAAAAAAAAACTTTTTGTCATTGTTTCCACCTGTAATATACCAAATACTGAAATTGTACCACACACCTAAGATTGGCAACCATGAGGCAGCCTAAAATAAATAAAACAAACAAACATTTCTGCCAGTAGCAGTTATAAGTGTCTAAATGATCGTGATAATGCTACATTTTTTGATAGCATCACCTGAAAGAGTTCTACAAGAAGCAGCAACAACAGATTCAGCTGCTTCAGCAACAGTCCAGTAAGAAAATCAAAGAGGTAAGAGTCTCAGGCTACAATATTACACACCTATATATTTTTGGAGGATATCCTATTGTTGAAGATTGATACACATATAAAAAATAAATATTTATTACTTTTCCTTTCTCTGGTTGTAGAGATTAAAGTGAAATAATGAATGGATTTGGGCTTTTATTTTAAAAGAATTTTGACATCTGAGCTTGAACAGAAATAGTATGTGGATTTGGCCTTTTATTTTAAAATCATTTCAGCAACTGATAAAGTCATTAAACGTTATCATTAAATGGTGATATCACCTGACTTAAAATTACGCTCTTCCAGCCTTAAAAGCCCAGAATCGATATCTAAACATCTACCAGATGTGACCCTTAATGGACTGACTGGTCTCACTCTGGTATGGCAAAAGAGAGTGAGGGCAGTGTTTACTACCTCAGTAGAAATGCTTTCTTTCCCCATCCTCCAGCTCTCCTCTCCCCAGCTCGTCTTCCAGCAGCTCATCCAACTCCAGCAGCAGCAACAGCAGCAGCTCCTCCGGGCGCACAGACCAGCGCTGTCCTCTCCCGCTCTCTCTCCAGGTCACTCCTCTTTACATCTATTTCCAAAAGTTATACATTAAAAAAAAGTTTCTTCAAATCAACTCTTTCATTTTGTGCATACTATGTGTTTTAAGTCATCATTTCGAGATTGAAGGAACAGCAGGGGCTCTGTATAATTAATGTACACTGAATAACAAATGCTACATCGCTAGAAAAATACACCACAGCTACTTTGCTATTTGCAGCAGTATTGATAGACTTTGTGTTTTCAATCATCTTTTAGCTTGTCTCAGCCCTGCAAAGATGCAGCAAGTATGGAAAGAGCTCACAATTGGAATGACTGAAGATAAAACCACAATAAAAGAGAATCGAGAATCTTCCGCTGGCAAAATAATGTCTGCAAAAGTCCCAGGGAGACAAGCCGATGACCAGCAGTCTGCCTGTCCTCACAGAGCTGAGAGGTAAGAGCCGTCTGTTCTCGCTGTAAGCAGCAGGAGGGCTCAGGTGACACTGCCTTTTTTCTGTTAACATCAAAGACTTGTCATCTGTAGACATTTTTTTTTTCTCTCAAGGTGCGGGTGAGGAGATGTTTGCTTTTGAGACTTCACTTTTAATTCCCCTTGGGGACAATGTATTTTGTATTGTTTGTTTGCTTTGTGTTCTGCCACCTGAAGTGGATCAGCAAAGAAAAAGTTTACGTAACTGCAGTACACGTCCCGAATCAAAAGTAAATAGTTATCCTGTTTTTTGTGCTTTTTTTTTGTCAGTGCTCCCTGCCACCTCTCTCCTGTCATTTCTGCTACCTGAAAAGAAAACAAAACACTCTTATATCTGTTTTATTGCTGTTTTGTTGTTTGCCTGCTGTGGTTTCTTTAATCTTGACAGGCCCTTCTCTCTCTCTCTCTCTCTCGATCAGCACTGTTAAAGGTGATCATGCTGCCAAACACGCCCTCTTCGGTCACGGCGTGTGTAATTGGCCCGGTTGTGAGTCAGTCTGTGAAAACTTCAGCCAGTTTATCAAGTAGGTTTAAACAATCTTCACACTTTTAATTTTTGACATATAGCAGTGAAAACAAAGCAGCAGAATAACTGACATCTCTTAACCTCATCTTCAGATACTAATGGATAATATGTGAATTATGTAATCACATTTTTTTTAATGAAATGGATTACATTTGAAAAGACATAATTAGGTAATAGCTCCACTGTTATGGATTTGCTTTTTTCATTTTGATTACTTCTTTCAAACTTTACAATTTTAAAATTATGATATTGATCAGCTTACAGTTAAATATGTTAAATATTATGTTAGTTATGTTACTTTGTGAAAAACAAAAAATCTGGTTATTTAAAACTAAAATTAGAAATTAACACGATTTTATTGTTTGTGTTGCTTGTTTGTTTGTTTACTGTTCACTCAAAACCAAAACGAACATTGAGACATGAGAATAACAATATAAATAAACTTAAACTTTCTTTCTGCAAATATTGTAAAATCCTTTACTTCATAACCACACAGCTGATTTGAGTTTGATTTATTTTTGTTTAGATACTTACTGTTGTTGTTATAGCCCTTAACATTCACTTCATCATCAGTGTGGGTCTAAATGTTGTTTTATCCACAGTATTTGATAAGAGATAAAAGATTCTTCCTCTACTTCTACATTTAAAAAAAATCTCCTAACATATTTGCTCTATTTGTTTCAGGCACATAAGCAGTGAACACACTCTGGATGACAGAAGTACAGCCCAGTGCAGAGTCCAGATGCAGGTGGTTCAGCAGCTTGACCTTCAGGTAGGGACTCTTAACTTATAAGTATCACTGACAGAAAAGGAAGCAGCGATGCTTGAATTATGTCCGATTTATTGAAACTTGCACAGTGTTAAGATGTTCTCAAGGTCAACATTGATTTTATCATTTTATGTGCAATTTCCAACTGAGGTCTACAAACCAGAAGCACGAGTGTTCATAAATCCAGACTTAAAGTAGAGGAGCTAGAGCCTTTTCAGCAGTGTTTCAGCTGCCCACGTCTCTGTTGAAACTTATTGAAACTACTTATTCTTGCTTTCAGTTCTAGTTGAGCAGAGAACCCTAGCTTTTATACTTAATTGATTGTATTTGATGGTTTTTAGTATGTATTTGGTGACTGTTACGGATAAATGTGCATTTTGTATAACCTGTGCACTTTGGTGAGCTGAGTTCTTTTAAAATGTGCTGTAGGAATAAACTTTGACTTGACTTTCATAGCGTTCTTTCGGTGCTTCGCAGGTTACAATAACCTCTAAATTGTTATGGATCATGTGGGGGATTAGTTGCTACGTCATCAAAATGTATAATATTCTATAGACTGAATGATGAACTGAGATGATGATACAGTCATAAATTAAAACATGGGTGATACCTGATATTATGCATGAGATAAGAGGATTTTTCTGTATACTTTATATATGCCCAACCCAACCAAGAAAAAAAAAGTTTATATTTGAAGCAAGGCTTGTCTGCAGTCACTTCAAACAAGAAACACTTGATTAATTTCTCCAATGCTCGACTATCTAGAAACCTTTCTGTTTATGCTAAATCCTCATGCAACATTCAGCCCCTGCTGTGCTTTTCCTGGTGTTTGACACAGAACGAACGCTTTCTTCCAGAGATCTGTCAGGTTCACAGCCTTCCATTTCAATAACCTCTGTCTGGTGATTACAATGTGACACCATCCACTACAATTTCCGCTTCCTTTCTTCATCTCCACTTACAGCTCTGCAAAGAACGGCAGCGTCTGCAGGCAATGATGGCTCACCTGCATCTGCCATCTTTAGAAGCTCAATCGCTCTCGGCGCCTGCACAGTCGCCACAGTCCGACACGGCTGCTGACCCGTGCGGCCCGCAGGTAGGCAGCGTTCAGTAATAGCTGCGCGAACAACACAGGTCGAGTAAATGAGCCGTGATATTTACGGCGTTACGGGGGGGAAACCCCAAATATGTGGAGAAAACAGCACATCTGGCTTCACCCTCATCTCTTCTAGCGCTGATGAAGATACTGCCAGGCTGTAATTGACTTGTTGAACTTTTACAGTTGAATGAGTTGCAAAAGCAAGCTGACATTTCCTTAGGAACAAAAAAATCCCCAAAACACAGCACTGAGGCAATGCTATGTGTGATGAGGGTCCTGGTAAGAAATATTTTATCAAATTGAAACACAAATTCATTTTTTGAAAAAGTTTACAAAGCACCTTTTGACTATGGCTCTAATTTGATCTTTGCTCTTTTACTTTGCGGAGCCCTCGGTGCTTTTTCAAAGCGAGGACGCTAAATGTACAGAGCGCTTCCTCTCCTCTCTGTGTCCAGCTGTTGGCACAGACGTGCTGTGATAATGTGGGAGCTAATCATTTGTTAATCTTGCAAATATTGCGCCATAATCACAACACCCACCAAACAATTTCACCCTATAATTAACAATAATTGGCTTCCTCCTTATTGTGACATTAGAGGAATCACCTCTGAAGAGGCAAATCCAATCGCTCCGTTACGCCCTGTTATGAATCTCCCACTCTGTTTTGTTTCCCTGTCAGAGTGTTCGCTGCTCTCGATCCTTTGTTAACTTCATGCTTTTGTCACTCTCAGCTCACTTCAGTCACCAACAGCTTGCCCTCGCTGAGACCATCAGACCCAGCCCAGGTGTCCCCTCGACCTCTAGATCCTGTTGGCACTCCATCCCAGGGGTGTGAGAAAGAGTTCCCCTCTCACACGTCAGGCGTTGGGCCAATCAGACGTCGTAATCACCCTCTGGTCTACTCGCTGTCTTCAGGTGACGTGTAACCTGGCCACTTGACACACAGCAGCTCATTCCAGATTTTTCACTTTGCTTTTTCTTTATTCTGCTTTTTTTCTTGTTTCAGAAAATGAATATGAGCTTTACAAAAACACTGATCTCAGACCACCTTTCACCTATGCCACACTGATTCGACAGGTATGACAGGTTTTTTTAAACTTTCTATTCGCCTTCTTTTATTTTGTATTTGCTGGTCCCGTATTAATGGATAAACAACGTTTTCATGGAATCTCTATGTTGCATATTGATTTGAATAACTTGATTCAAGTGATACAATTTTCAATCCGTGTTTGAAGTTTTTATCAAGTTAAATATGCATGTTTTCCTGTTGTTTTAGTAGTCAGCTGGTTTTAGAGCGTGAATATGGAAAAACTGACATGAGGTCTTTTTACAACTGATTAATAAGTAAAAATAGTTTACACATGACTCACTAGTTAACTGTAAGACAGAATAATGTTATAAAACAGAATAAAACATTTAATTTTCAATATTTTTATCCACCTGACATCAAAAAAATGTGCTTGTTTGTGTTTTTTCTTTTTATATCTTTTATATATTTAACCTCGGTTTGTATATGTAAGTTTAGAAATTTTGTTTTGTTTGTTTGTGTGTGTGTGTAAAAGATTGTATTAGGTTGATGTTTGTATATTAAATGTCATATATGTGTATGTAGTTAACCAATGCATTTACATTTTTGATGTCTCGTGTGGAGTCGCAGTGTGTTATATGTTGTTTTGCTGTTGCACAAAATGTAAAAACTGTGCAAGTACACTTTAACTACGTCGATAAAATAAGTGTGAAGAAGAATCATTAACTGAGTAAAAAAAACAGGATAGAAATGATTAAGCACAATAAAAAATACAATAAAGTAAGTAAATAAAAAGAAGGAAGTAATTGCCTACTTCAATTAAGAGTCCAATTAAAGGTCGGTTTTACATTTCTGTTTGGAGCTTGGAGTGTAAAAGTTCCCTCACCAAAGGCATTGCGACCTGCGCTTTGGAGCAACTAACAGACTCATGCCAGAGAATCCGAGCAGTCATACAAGCTCATACTTTGTAACCACGTGAGACATCTAATAGATCACAGGGTGCTTCAAAAACATCTGGAAGCAGTAAATGTCAGGAGTCTCCTTCTGGTCCAGATACATGCTCACCTGCAGGGTTGTGAAATATCTGTAATTGATTTTTTTTTAACATTTTCGTAGCATTAAAGCGTGAATCTTGATAGAAAAACATGCATCTGTTTCTACTATAGCATTATTTTTGCAGAATTGGCGATTCCTTAAATTTAAACAAACACAAAAGCCGTATCTTTGTTCCTTGCCTTCGATAAACTAGTGAAGGCTTTAATTTGATCCTGTATTGTGCTACGGTGTATTATTTCCTTTCCATCTACAGGCTATCATGGAAACATCAGACATGCAACTAACCCTCAACGAGATATACAACTGGTTCACAAGGACATTTGCTTATTTCCGACGCAACGCCGCCACTTGGAAGGTATTCCACCTGCAGATGATTAACTCTGTATCCCACTGTGTGTCATACCCGATGCATGCTGCATGCATTCAGAAATATCTTCCTCACTCTGATTTCATCTGGATCAGAATGCGGTTCGACACAACTTGAGCCTGCACAAGTGTTTCGTGCGCGTGGAGAATGTGAAAGGTGCGGTGTGGACTGTGGATGAGGTGGAATACCAGAGGAGGCGATCCCAGAAGATCACAGGGTACAGTAGATCCTCCTAGTTTATCGCAGTGCCGCCATCAGGGTATCTGTACATATTTCATAAATATAATGATAATTAATTACACAATAATCAAAATATCACATTTTAATCACAAAACACAGCTTTAGCATGAGTAACCACAAACTTCTGCTGTTTGTAAATTCACAAATTTATATTCAACCTTATGGTCTACAGTGCTAAGTATCATCTATATTATAAAAACCAAAAGGAAAGGTTTAGTTTCCTTATTTTAAAGACAGACATCTCTGCAGGTGATTTATTTAAAACAGCTGAAAATTGCTGTGAAATATAAGGCGCAATATTAATGGAGACAAAAGTTACATTTTTAGCATTTCCAGGAATCACGGCTTTGAAATTTAAGTTGAAATCAATCCATAAATTCCAATCTGATCGCTCTCCTATATCACTCAAATCCGAGTGATGTTGAGTGTGAAAAAATTCTCAAAAATCTTTAGAATATGGATAAACGTGGTTGGAAAATTCAAAATTCCATTCAGTAGAGGCCCTTTACTCTTATTCATTTGTTAAATACATTATGAATTTTCATTGCTGTTATCTGTTATTTTCTATTATCTGCAGAAATCCATCACTGATGAAAAGTATTTCCTCCAGTGCAGGTTATGGAACCCTAATGAATTCTGGCTTGCAGGTGAGCCAATGCATTCTCAACGCAGGAGTGCTTACAGGTTGGGGGCGTGGCCACTCTTTCATTTATGCTCACTTTTCTTTTCAGACCGCACTGGCAGAGGCGTCACTGCCAGGACTCAAGAAAGACAACGTAAGAGGAAATTCAAAGAGTGAAATACAAAGGAGCAGCATGGCTGACAGCCACAGAAACCAAAACTTCTCTCCTCGTGTCCAGACGTGAGTTTAGCTTTGATATAAAATTCGCTCCAAAAAAATTTAGCGATATAACTCTGAAGTTTGATGTCTTTTCTATTTAACCTCTTACAGGCCGCTTTTCCTTGAAGACAAAGAGCTGAAGGTGAATGACCAAGGATGTCTGATACAGACAGTGAAACCAGTCAGCCTGCAGCCAGACATGAGTGAAAATGATGGAGGGCATTTGTTTGACCTTGAATGACTCTTTTATTGTTAAGAAAAGCAGTAAAATTAGCATTAAAACTATTTAGAATATTTTCTATTCATCAGCAAATGTAATAAAGTAAATTTAGCTTTGAGACAGATTATAGCAGCCTCAATTTCTCCTCAATTTCAGTCAAACAGCAAAAGAAAGCAGAATATAGTGCCACTTGTGGTCTCTGTGCTGGGAATACTTTTATCAAATATTTAAATATTGGACTATATATCTTAATAACAGTTATTATTCAAATATCAAACAGACATGTAACAAGTTGAGCATTTAAAGGTGACCGAGATTAGTCGCATTTCTTAGGATAATAGTATTTTTTGTTTGTTTGTTTGTTTTGTTTGACTTTCTAACGGACATCTTGCCAAGAAAATGGCAACAATTTAGAACAATTTGTGATTTTTCACCAAAAACAACCCGTACGCTTTTGTATTAATTATTTATGATGATAGAAAATGTTTGTTGATAATGTTTGTTAATAGTTTGTGTCTCAAAGACACTTTTAAATAACTGAAAAGCATTCGTTGTGCACTGTTTCTTCTGTTTTCTCTGTTGTGATTATTGATAGAAAATATGGGATTTTCACAGGTCAGTTTTTTTTTTTAAATGAGGGTCTGTATACTGAAATAAAGGTTCTGTTTTTGTTATTGAGAACACGGTCTGTATAATGTGTGTAAAGATGTGTCAGTCTGTAGGCTTGTGTCCAACATTTAACAATAAAAATATATATAATAGTTTAATGTTGTATTTATAAGGCTGTGCAACATTATGCTTTTTGCTTCAGTTATCAACTTGCATACTTAAAAATGTAACACCCATGCGTCGGGTATTTTTAATGCTGATTTATACAAAGTTTAAAAAAAGGCAAATTTGTAGTGTCATGTTTGGATTTGTTTGACATGGTGCATGTACTTGTAACCTAAACACTGTGAGGTTTCTCCAAACCATTGTTTCAAAAAATGGCTGCAGCCCCTGTCAGTACAATCATAACATTTTAACATTACACTTTAATTTTTACATAAATTTCACAGTACTGCTAACTGTTTCAAAATTAGATAAAGCTAATTAAATTTCCATAAAGACAGTAAAATAACTTCTGCATTCACTTTCATCATGCTACCATACCCTGAAATAAGTGTTTTCTATATTACTATATGAATATATTATATTATATTTCTAAAGATCACCGATAAGAGGTCTCAGCTACAATCCCTGTTAAATTATTAGAAATTAAAATAATAAAATAAACACTCCCAACATTGTGTCATCAACTGATACACACCCTGAAGTGAAGCTGTGACTGTAGACTTCACAACCAAACACAGAACAAAAGGTTTTTCAGCTCCCTGTTTTGACTATTGTCAGTAATTGTCTTTGCTGATAACATGTTAGCTTTAGGTTTGCTGTTCCTTCTCAGGTCTTGCTTTGATTTGCTGTCAGCCTATTAGATGACATTTTCTTCTGATTGCCTCCGTGCCGTGTGCGTACTGACTGAAAGTTAGCATGGTGCTAGACAACTTCAACAGCTTCACTTATGTGTTGCTTTGATGTGCCATATACTCACTGCGAGGCGGGCCAGTCAGCATGTTTTTTAATGTAGCACTTTTGACAGCACTTAATCAACAGCCCCTCCAAAAAGGCCGGTCTCTGTTCATCTTCTCATCAGTGGGTAATAATGATGCTGCCGCACATGTGCTCGTTCTGTTCGCGACGTTCTCTTCTGCGGGAAAAACAATATCTCCACATGCAAAGATTTAAATGTATTTAAACTACTTATTACTGATTTCATCTTTTAAATCCAACGATGCAATGATGTGGCAAATCTTTACATACCAGAAACTGTCAAGCTCAATTTTCAAGTCAAGTTTAAGCAATTTATTTTTATTTTAGTCTAAATTGATCTTGTGAGCCAGAAATGTAAAATCTTTGGAATGTCTGAATTTTAAAAAGTTTTCTTTTGGTGTGAAAAGAAAAAGTAAAAGGATATTCTCAAAATGAATCTAATTAACCATCTCTTAACAAATAAGTTAAACAGCTGAAAAAAAAAATCACCATTCAGAAATGATGCCAGACATTTACACACTGATTTTACACACTGATTGCATCTAAAGTCATTAAAAAGAAACTTAACGTCATAAAAATGTTCTGAGCAGGTTCTTGGCTTAACCACCTTATTGGTAATTATTAAAACCCCTGGTCCTGATGAAATGAATGATTCGAGATTAAAAAAGAAAAACAAAGCTGGCAGCTTTAACGCTCTGTTTCTCCACAGAAGCTCTTAGGATTAAAACAAGCATGTCAGGCTCAGGACTGAATGTTGGCTCGTCAATGACAAATGTTGACTTTTTACTCTGTTCTTTTTACATTTTAAGGTATTTGAACAATTGTGAAAGGCAAACAGAGTAATGCACAAAACAGGAAAATATCCTGCTTTATGGCACACATAAAAATATGACTTTTCTTGAAATTAGTGGCATCTTCTCATCTCACATGGGAAATATTACTATGTTATGCATACTAAAAGCTAGACAGCAGACAACTTTTATCGGTTTGGCTTGTGTGAGAAAGAGGGAAGAGAACATACACAATATTCAGCTGACACACTCATGGGGTATGTGTCTCCATTGTGTTAGGTGACTAAAAGCAGAACAGAGAAAGCAACTTGAAGTCACTCAGCAAGGCCTCGGCCTTCTTTGTGCTCTGTGATCAGCAATGTTTGGCACAGCCGCTCTGTTGGGAAGGGGATTGTTATTAACTCACAACAAAACACACACACAAAGAGCACAGCTAAAAGCCTCCTGAGCGGTGACTCATGTCGGCATGTTGGGTGTTGGTGGAGGTTTCCTGACCCTTTGGTGTGGACAGAAGCCAGAGGGTGAAGGAGGAGATCGAGTGAACAAAGCGTAAGAAGGATCCTGAGCAGTCATGTACACCAGACATGTTACCAGGAGAGCACTTATCTGTGGATGGGGAGGAGCAAAAAACAAGCCAGACTAAAGGTAAGTGCAGATGATGTGATGTAAAAACAAATAATTCCAGTAATTTAGAGTTATGTTAATAGGATTAAGGACGGATTATTTGATGGACATTGACAAAAGTCTCGCTCTTTTTCCTAATTAGCATATGTAAACAATGGTGTCATTTTTAAGAAATCACGAGAAATGGGTGGGTGTGAGGGTGGAGGTGCAAGATTTTATAGGTTTTCTCAACCAATACAGAAACAAGGACCAACATTTGGTTCCTCTGTTCACTATTTGTAAGGATTTCTATTTTTCCGTATTTAAAGGTTTTAGTGTTTCTCCACAACAAAATGGGCAAAGGGTCAAAAGCTTTTTGGACACAATAAAGCAACATGGGACAGCAATAAGAGCTCGCAACTTAAGAGGTTTCCATTATATTTGTTAAATATCGCAATATTCTGGCAAATATATAAGAGCTGAGTGCATTCACGATAGAGCTTCTTGCCTTTTTACCAACTCAACATCTAACTTGTCTTTCTTTTTGTGTCTCAAGGTAGCACGTCTCTAAAATCAGCCCAGGAAATCCTTTCAGTGGGTGACCCTGTTAGCAGAGGAAATACCATCACCACTGATCTTATCAGCTGTAAGTGGAAACAAAGAGACCTGCGAAGCATTATTAATACAGTTACAAAAATTTATTGTTACTCTGACTGATCAGGTTATTTAGAAGGTGTAAACTAAGAAATTTCCTCTTTAATTCACATTGTAATTAATCATTGAAATACTTAATCAAATTATAACTAATGATAAAGACAGACATATAACAACATGTGCCAGAAAACTGTTTCATCCGGCATTTAGTTGCAACAATCTCACGAGCTGATCCTTCCATTTCCAGCTCAGCCTCTGCCTGCTGTTTCTCCACCAGCAGAGGCCTCACAGGAGGCAGCAGCATTTAAGAAACGTACATATGACCACCAGCAGAAGCCCGAGTGTCCACGGTGTGGCCTCACAGCTCCAGATGACAGACTGCCGGGCTCCAGGTTGTCAGTGCACAGCGGCAGCAGGAGCAGTAAAAGGAGAAAGGAGACAGGTGCTGCGGCTGGATCACACCAAACTGCGGCTACACCTGCTGGTAAGTTCTACAGTATGACTTGATTTACATAATGTAAAGAACAATGACGATGTGAACAGAAAGTACAAACTGTAACGTTTATTTTGATGCACACAGTAAGCAATTTTAATACGCTAGCAGATCAATGTTCCTTTCCAAGACAAGGCAAGTTCTGTATTTCGGGACTAAGACAATAATAACTGTGATATTAACATACACAATATCAAAAGTTATTACACAGTAAAAATATTCTTTTTTTTTTTCTATATTACTGCTTCTATATGGTTATATTGTGACATCTGTCTGTTCTCACTTTTAATCTGAGGAATTGATTAAGCTAATAAACTGAGAACATACAGTTAAGTCAGGAAGAGTTTGATAGACACAATATACAGGGTGGGCCATTTATGGATACACCGTAATAACATGGGAATGGTTGGTGATATTAAAGTCCTGTTTGTGGCACATTAGTATATGTGAGGGGGTAAACTCCTCAAGATGGGTGGTGACCATGGTGCCCATTTAGAAGTCGGCCATCTTGGATACAACTTTTGTTTTTTTCAATAGGGAGAGGGCCATGTGACACATCAAACTTATTGGTAATGTCACAAGAAAAACAATGGTGTGCTTGGTTTCAACGTAACTTTATTCTTTCATGAGTTATTTACAAGTTTCTGACCACTTATAAAATGTGTTCAATGTGCTGCCCATTGTGTTGGATTGTCAATGCAACCCTCTTCTCCCACTCTTCACACACCGATAGCAACACCGCAGGAGAAATGCCAGCACAGGCATCCAGTATCCGTAGTTTCAGGTGCTGCACATCTCGTCTCTTCACACCATAGACAATTGCCTTCAGATGACCCCAAAGATAAAAGTCTAAGGAGGTCAGATCGGGAGACCTTGGGGGCCATTCAACTGACCCACGACGACCAATCCACTTTCCAGGAAACTGTTCATCTAGGAATGCTCGGACCTGGCACCCATAATGTGGTGGTGCATCATCTTGCTGGAAAAACTCAGGGAACATGCCAGCTTCAGTGCATAAAGAGGGAAACACATCATCATGTAGCAATTTCAAATATCCAGTGGCCTTTAGGCTTCCATTGATGAAGAATGGACCCACTATCGTTGTACCCCATATACCACACCAAACCATCACTTTTGTTGTTCCAACAGTCTTGGAGGGATCCATCCAATGTGGGTTAGTGTCAGACCAATAGCGGTGGTTTTGTTTGTTAACTTCACCATTCACATAAAAGTTTGCCTCATCACTGAACACAATCTTCTGCGTGAACTGAGGGTCCTGTTCCAATTTTTGTTTTGCCCATTCTGCAAATTCTGTGCGCCGATCTGGGTCATCCTCGTTGAGATGCTGCAGTAGCTGGAGTTTGTAAGGGTGCCATTTGTGAGTAGCTAATATCCGCCGAAGGGATGTTCGACTAATGCCACTCTCAGTGACATGCGGCGAGTGCTACGCTGTGGGCTCTTGCTGAATGAAGCAAGGACAGCCACTGATGTTTCTTCATTAGTGACAGTT